AATGATCAGTAATGATTAATCTGGCCAAGGGATTTTCGGTCATTCGTCTTCTCCACCGATATCTAAACTCACTACGTGCTTTTAACAACTCATCCATAGGATAAACAGGTAAACTTTGATTGTGAGAGGCTTTGGTAACTGGAAACATTTTGGGAGATGTCTGAATTTCTAGATTAAAAAACCGAAAATAAACAGTAGGATGTCTAAAAACGAAAACTGAAGTAATGACTAAACCAAGAATTAATATCGTAAAAGATAATTAAAATACAAATCCAGCATACAATAATTGTCTGATTTATGTAATTCGAATCCAATATATCCAATATCGTTTTTACGAGCTAGTATAAACCAATTTGATTTCTTTGTGCTCGCCTCTTGATTGTGGGGTATACGTTCCTGATCTTCAGTAAACCTCTGAGTAGCTCGTCCCGCCCCACTCGACTGTCGTAGCTTTGTTTGACTCCAAAATGAGTAGTGCTGGGATTAATTATATTTGGTTTGTAGAATGAGGTGTGTTAAGACTGTTACTACTGTGAATGGAGTTGATCCTTTCATCAGTTAGTCCTCCGGTATCATCGTCAAAAGAATGGAGATCATAATAGTGATAATAGATATAATTAGTGAAGTTATTCAGACTAAAAGACAGAGGAACAATAGGGAAACGTAACAACAGTCAGCTGATTAAGTTTGAAGTTGATATATGTATATATATATATCAATGCGACTGGGAGTAGAGCTACTGGTCAGTAACTAGTGGCAGTTTGACCATCTTCACGCTTGAAGATCGGAGAAAGGATGGCTCTTTTCCACTCCCTTGACAGTTTCCCCGACTCCATTAGGTGTTGGAACAAGTCGCATAAGGGCCTGTAGGATTAGTTTTGTCTACACATCAGTACTCTCGCTTAGTACTGACAATACAGAGTTTTCCCTTAACTATATTTAAAAACAGAGTGACCTGACTTTAACTTTCTGTTTCTAAACCATTAAATAAATCATACAATTACACCAGGAAAAATATATAAACCCTCTGTCACTCAAGAAAAGAGAAAAACGTACCGAACAGTATTGAGGGAACGGACTGAATGAACGGTTAATTAATTACATGTACACACAAATAAAGTGACAGAAAACAAAGAACACTCAAGGTCACATCATATTGATTGGCTTTCTATCATACAGTATATCTACCTGTCGCGATTAACACTCCCCGCGAACGATCATCACGTTGACTTCTCGTATCTGCAACCTTCAAGTTGTCTGCTTCTTCCAACAAACATACGCTTCTTATATCTCGTTCGAGTTCTTGAGTTGCAGTTTTCAAACGCACCGTCCTGACGCGGCCATCTTCGTCATAGTACACCTGCTTAACTATAGCCTTTCGCCAGAGACCTCTCTGTGTGTCAGCACTGTTAACTAGGACGAGATCACCAGGTTGTAGGTTACGCTTTATATCCAACCATTTAGATCTTGTTTGCAGCATCAAATGATATTCACGTAGCCATCTATGCCAGAACAAATCAATCAAATGTTGTGCTTCCTTCCATCTTTGTCGTTGGCCAGTGGGTATATGTGCTCCACGGGGACCAGCTAGCGTATTGTAACCCTCTGGAAGACTCGTGATGAATTCATGAATATTTGCACGACGTGCTGCATTGGTTATTATTTCATCCATTGTTATAGCATTATTCGCCTTATTCCCATAAGCAATATTTCCCATAATAGAAATATTAAATAATTGTGGTTCTTGGCTGACAACACCAATTTGTTGACGAATCCATTTCCGTAAAATTACTCGACGATTAATACCATTGAAAAATATACTACATTTCCATTGTCATAAAGCCATTGAATTAAACTTAGTATACTGGTCTTACCAGATCCTGAAAGTCCTACCATAGCTGTCTTTCGACCAGGTTCAAATGTATGTGAGAAGTTCTTTAAAATACAAGTTTCTGGCCGAGATGGATAACGGAATGAGGCTTGTCTAAATTCTATAGGTAAACTATTTAAAGGTTGATCAAGGTATAAATAAACCACCTTCACTGACAGGTATTTTAGACTTTCCATCTAAAAGTTTGAAAATTCGATCAGCTGCCAATGAGGCATGTTTCATTTCTGGGCCGGCCAATATGTGATGTTCTTTCTACCAAGTGCTTGAGCTGCGAAACTGATAGCAGCGGAGACCATGAATATTGCCATCAAAGTGATCTCTTCAATACTCATTAGATAAGCTCCACATGAAAATGCAGCTGCGTATGCACATATTGGTAATGATTGAGCCAATGCATAGACAAATGAATAAAACTATGAAGCCATATCACCAATTGTTTCCAGCCGTCACTGGTTTTTACCGTCCCGAGGACCCCATCCACGAAGTCCACACCTCCCTATGTGACTTACTGAAACTAACTGTTGTAGATTTCATTGACTGATTAGAACATGTTTTCGTTTGACCACCGCTAGCTCTTTTCCAGCCTGACCCTATATCAGCTAACATCGCCCGTCAGTCGAGGAAGGCGATGACTAGGCATACCTACGTAACACATGTACTAACCATCTCAGTCGATGTAATTTCACAGCCTCATCGATTGATTTCCTCTCCCTTCTTACCTAGCACTCGACCGATGCCTTACCTCAATATTACTCACCTTATTATGCCACTTCACACGGAAGATAGAACGCAGACATCCATGATCAAAGACAGCTAATCTTTTCATGTCTTCACTTCTCAATGGCTATGTCTCAGTCACAGCCGGCCATATAGGAGGACGGAGCGGACTGATGAGCAGTACACACGCCCTTTGGTCGATAGTTATGACTTCTACTATTACAGAAGTTGGACGAGTAAACATGAGTCATCTTATTCTGTATACAGATTTTCTTCTAAGACACAGTAACAAATCTAGAAATTAAGAATAATTCAACACGCACTAATAATATTCGTAGTTAAGTGAAGTTACGATCGGTGGAAAATTGGTCAATCATGTTACCTTAAATTACAGGTTTTTACACTTGATAGACATAACGAGCATATGAACAAAAGCAGTATTATCGAAAACCTGTGAAATGTTTCGCATATTTTCTATCCACCAACAGTCTTAAGATGGAATATATATATTATCATTGACGATCAGATCAGGGAGCACCTCGATAGGTCTAATATACTACATGAATCCCAACACGGTTTCAGGAAAGGCAGATCCTGTGTAACAAACCAACTATCAGCTTGAGACGATCGTACTTCATACTGGGATATGAATGTTCCAGTCCATGTGGTCTACTCAGACTTCGAGAAAACATTTGACACTGTTCAACATGACCTTCTATAGGTATAGGTAAGCCAATTCTGTCATGGTTAAAGGACTACCTAGCTGAAAGGCAATTTTGCACTAAGGTCAATCCAGTTCCATCATCTTGGCACAACTCGTCATCAGTAACGTCACAGGGTTCTTTTCTAGGACCACTGATGTTTTTGTTTTTTATCAATGATCTACCATGCCGTCTAAGCTGCCCGATTCTTCTATACGCTGATGACGTGAAGATATGGGGGGCGATAAAGTGTCCGGAGGACTCAGATAGACTGCACGCAGAACTAAACCTTCTGGAAGACTGAACGATGGCCAGTGGCAAAGAAGTGAAATTACGCACCTGTAGACTGCAGAATGCAAGTTACACCCTGTGCAATGGAAGCTTGTCCTGCACAACGTCAAAGCAACACTTAGGTCTAGTCCTAACGGAAAAATGGACACAAGCGTGAAGAACACTGGTGGTGTAGCGAGGGAATATGCGGTCATACACTTTACACATAGACAGTGGGCTGCACTCACTCTTAAGCTCTTTCTAAAGTTGTACAAACAATACATCAAACTACACCTTGAAGTCCATTAAATCATTGCACCCCATTGCTAAGAAGAGACGCCAACATCTTGGAAAGAGCCCAAAGACAGGCAACAAAAGGAGTGGTTGGTCTCCGAAACAAACCCTATGATGAGAGGCTAAATAAATTAGGCCTATTCACACTTAGATACCGTCGGCTTAGAGGGGATTTGATCACTGCCTACAAAATAACGAGTGACCATAATCACCCAAACAAAGGTGGCCTGCCATTGAGTAGTTATGAGCTTCCCTGTGAAAATCCCAAAATGATGCCTCACCAGAGGACAAAGACTAGGGTGCGGTAACCTTCTTTTCACTGAGGGTTTGCTGTCCCTGTTACTCCTTACTGACAGATGTACCTACGGCACTGTCTCTGGACAGCTTTAAATGAAGGTTGGACAATCACGCAGCGACACAAGGAGAGCGTTCAAATAGCCTAGTCCCCTTAAAATCCCATACACCATTCAGGGGTAGACAATTAAACTGGTCGTTTTACTTCTTTACATTTTCTCCTGTTTTACCCTCCTGACAAGTTTAACTACACCTATTATTATTATCATCATATATATACATATATATATATATTTACCGGTTGACTGACTGTTGTTACGTTTCCCTATTGTTTCTCTGTCTGTTAGTCTGAATAACTTCACTAATTATATCTATTATCACTATTATGATCTCCATTCTTTTGACGATGATACCGGAGGACTAACTGATGAAAGGATCAATTCCATTCACAGTAGTAACAGTCTTAACACACCTCATACTACAAACCAAATATAATTAATCCCAGCACTACTCATTTTGGAGTCAACCAAAGCTACGACAGTCGAGTGGGGCGGGACGAGCTACTCAGAGGTTTACTGAAGATCAGGAACGTATACCTCACAATCAAGAGGCGAGCACAAAGAAATCAAATTGGTTTATACTAGCTCGTAAAAACGATATTGGATATATTGGATTCGAATTACATAAATCAGACAATTATTGTATGCTGGATTTGTATTTTGATTATCTTTTACGATATTAATTCTTGGTTTAGTCATTACTTCAGTTTTCGTATTTAGACATCCTACTGTTTATTTTCGGTTTTTAATCTAGAAATTCAGACATCTCCCAAAATGTATCCAGTTACCAAAGCCTCTCACAATCAAAGTTTACCTGTTTATCCTATGGATGAGTTGTTAAAAGCACGTAGTGAGTTTAGATATCGGTGGAGAAGACGAATGACCGAAAATCCCTTGGCCAGATTAATCATTACTGATCATTACAGATATCCGCCTAATATAATCTTGAAAAACTGGGAGAAATATCCGTTTGATGAGACTGGTGATGAGTCAGACAAGCGTCAGTTCCTTTCAACTATGAGTGATAAAATGAGAAATAGAATAATAATGTTGAAGTCACAACCTTATATACCTTCTGAAATTTATGATAATATGATATCTGAGGAAGATTTTCAGCATGTTTGTTCACTACTATCAAATGAGGTGTGCATCACAGAGAATTATTTTCAATCGATAAGTCAAAATCAATGCATTTCAGCATGTTATTTTATATGTGATAATTGTGATTTTCTTGGGACCAATGAAGACGCAGTGGAACACTTGAAACAAACCGGTCATTCAACGTGTAGTAAATACACACCAATTTATTATGTGGATGAATCTGGTGCTACTAAACCTTGTGAACTAAAAGAACCACGGGTCATCTTTTATGCACCTGATCGAATTTATGGTTGGAGTATTGGTGATTCAGTGATATGTTGTCCTACGTGAAATTCGACAACATATCACTGAATCACCAATACTCCAACCATAAATTCGATCAGGTGCATAAAAGATGACCCGTGGTTCTTTTAGTTCACAAGGTTTAGTAGCACCAGAGTCATCTACATAATAAATTGGTGTGTATTTACTACACGTTGAATGACCGGTTTGTTTCAAGTGTTCCACTGCGTCTTCATTGGTCCCAAGAAAATCACAATTATCACATATAAAATAACATGCTGAAATGCATTGATTTTGACTTATAGATTGAAAATAATTCTCTGTGATGCACACCTCATTTGATAGTAGTGAACAAACATGCTGAAAATCTTCCTCAGATATCATATTATCATAAATTTCAGAAGGTATATAAGGTTGTGACTTCAACATTATTATTCTATTTCTCATTTTATCACTCATAGTTGAAAGGAACTGACGCTTGTCTGACTCATCACCAGTCTCATCAAACGGATATTTCTCCCAGTTTTTCAAGATTATATTAGGCGGATATCTGTAATGATCAGTAATGATTAATCTGGCCAAGGGATTTTCGGTCATTCGTCTTCTCCACCGATATCTAAACTCACTACGTGCTTTTAACAACTCATCCATAGGATAAACAGGTAAACTTTGATTGTGAGAGGCTTTGGTAACTGGATACATTTTGGGAGATGTCTGAATTTCTAGATTAAAAACCGAAAATAAACAGTAGGATGTCTAAATACGAAAACTGAAGTAATGACTAAACCAAGAATTAATATCGTAAAAGATAATCAAAATACAAATCCAGCATACAATAATTGTCTGATTTATGTAATTCGAATCCAATATATCCAATATCGTTTTTACGAGCTAGTATAAACCAATTTGATTTCTTTGTGCTCGCCTCTTGATTGTGAGGTATACGTTCCTGATCTTCAGTAAACCTCTGAGTAGCTCGTCCCGCCCCACTCGACTGTCGTAGCTTTGGTTGACTCCAAAATGAGTAGTGCTGGGATTAATTATATTTGGTTTGTAGTATGAGGTGTGTTAAGACTGTTACTACTGTGAATGGAGTTGATCCTTTCATCAGTTAGTCCTCTGGTATCGTCGTCAAAATAAAGGAGATCATAATAATGACAGTAGATATAATTAGTAAAGTTATTCAAACTAACATACAGGAAAATAAATAAAGGACACGTTACAACAGTCAGCTGATTAAGTTTGAAGTTGATATATATATATACATATATATATATCAATACGACTGGGAGTAGAGCTACTGGTTTATAACTATAGTTATATGCCACTATAGTGGCAGTTTGACTATCTTTACGCTTGAAGATCGGAGAAAGGATGGCTCTTTTCCACTCCCTTCACAGTTTCCCCGACTCCATCAGGTGTTGGAACAAGTCGCATAAGGGCCTGTAGGATTAGTTTTGTCTACACATCAGTACTCCCGCTCAGTACTGACAATACAGAGTTTTCCCTTAACTATATTTAAAAACAGAGTGACTTGACTTTAACTTTATCTGTTTCTAAAACATAAAATAAATCATGCAATTACACCAGGAAAAATATATATACCCCCTGTCACTCAAGAAAAGAGAAAAACGTACCGAACAGTATTGAGGGAACGGACTGAATGAACGGTTAATAAATTACATGTACACACAAATAGTGATTGAAAAAATGAACACTCAAGGTCATGTAAGAATTGGGCCTGGCTTAAATTAGACCTAAAATAACCACTCTTACAAAACTTCTTCACCGCTTATGACCTTAATCGTACTCTGCCTAACGTGCAAGTACTGACGAACGGAATCAAGGCTAAATGACTTGAGATGGCAACTGTGACTGGAACAGAATTGTATTTACACAAAACAGATATGGAATTTGATAAGAAATAAGAGGATACACACTTATCTGCAGTCCTGACTTTGGTAGGCTAGGAGGGTGCGCTGGATGAAAGCACATCGATATAGAGAACCTAGGACGTACGGCAGCCTGTCAACGGCCGTAATTTTGAGTGCCCGCGAGTGAGATAAACAAGTGATTTGCTCGCTGGTGATTGGCCAGTTTGTCATTCGACCTGCGGTAATTTCAAACATCATTTAACTGCTTGGTTAAGTTCGCAATTGCCAGGAGCGTTTTATCAAGTCGGGTGCATAATTGACAGCACATACTATTACAGCTCATGATGGATTTGATAAACCAGAGGATTTACTTGCTGAATTCAATGAATTCATCCCATATCAAGATGAAAACAGTATATGTAGGTAAACCTACATTTACTGTTTTCCTGTCACGAAGATCGGAAAGCAGGTATCAAATGACTTAGTAAGCAGTGTAATGCATGTAGGCTACATGTTTTTAGTTGAAATAAACTGGGTGTCCATTCCCTTTCAGGATTCATCTTGAGTTCATTTGGAATAAGCTAGTTGACCACATCAGTATTGCGAGAATGCAATGAAAGTAAGTAAACACCTGCTTCATAAGATTAAGTGATACATTTAATTGAAATGATTGTATAATAAGTAGTTGTCTATCTAAGTTAACGTTGAATTCGTTGCGATAATAATACCTGTTATCGCTTTTATAGTCACTATGAACATGAACGTTATTATTATTAATGCTGTCAGAACTCGTATTATTTGTCAAAAAGCTGTTGTCACTTTTGTTAAAATCTTTGTTCAAGCTTTGGAAACTATTGTATAACTTGTCGTTAAATAATTTTATCATTTCATGATGCTTCGATGGACCTACTAGATATCGACCGACGATAAATTGTGAAGTCCCTTGAGTTTAGTGAAAACTATTTAGCTACTTATATATATTGTTTGTGAAGTGATTACTTGTAAATGCTTATGAAGAAACATTTTTTATTCAGATCATACATGTACCACCTAAGTTAATAATGCTTTTCTTAAACCTTTTCAGGCTTATGGAGAAACATATATGTGCTGGTACGCAGATGAAACCTACTGACAGTGACGGAGGACTACTCATGTGAATTATCTGTACATCTCAAATCTTATTTTTGCTTAATAAACACTTTTTTAATGAATCTGTGTTCCTTCTGTTGTAACGCGATTGTGTTCCAGTGACGTTAGTAACACGTGCTAAGTTAGGAATTAAGGGCAAACTTGTAGGAGTAAATGCGGCGTCTGGGAAACTGTTGTTTACGCGATTACATGAACAGATAGCAACGTACCGTGTTCTGTAGCTGCGAACCGTAGGTATTCTAATGAGGTATAATTGTATTTCAATAGTAGGTATTCTGTTTTTAATTATTACGATAACCGTAGTTGCACTGAGTTCTAAATCTAACAGTATAGGTACATTATTCCCATCTTGGTTTATTACGATAAGTAGAAATCACAAGCTCACCATCTCAGGTAGATTTACTTTTAACCTTGTTTGACTATGAATCGGAAGTCAATTAATAGGTTCCTACTAAGACGATATATAACTAAGCGCTTATAACCTCAATGTTTTCTTCTACAAGTGGACGCAGAAACTTCATTACGGCACGACATAGTTTTTTTATCAATAAGCCTCTCCAAATATCTAATTTTACCTAACATTTTTAAGATCACGTCATATACTCCGTACCTCACAAATTACGCAAATGCTAAAAATCAGCTTTATCAACCAGAATATACAAACGAATTACGAGGAATACATTTATTAATGAATAAACATGTAATACATAATCAAAAACACGGCAGATATTTTTTTCTTTATCGCCCAAATCCATGAAATTCCCGAAAGTAGATATTATCTTGAAAAGAACAAAACAATTCTAAAGATGTAGACATTGTTACCACAGTAAATGCAATAAATAACTACTTAACACGTTTAAAATGATGAAATAATCAGTTTCGTTGTACACAATTACATCAGTCAATATTTTTCAAGAAGAAAAAATGGATATTGCATCTACCTGTAAACATCAGGTATGTGCTATAAAATGAGTAAATGCTATGCGTATATAATTTCTAAGTATTTCTGTAGATTTACTTCAATGAAATACATGTACAGGAGCTCTGACAGCATTAGCAAAAGTAAACAACAAAGTAAATCAAATAATCAACAAAACCAACTATCCCACCTCATCATGTCCATGTATAATCCTTTAAACTGCAAAATAAACTCACTAGAAGTCGTTATAATATGTCTATTCAAGTAATTCGACATTTTCCGAACGGAAAAGCACGTAATTCAACAATTTGTAAATTGGCCGTAAATTACGGCCGGATAAGGACACCATCATTTCCCGTTTAAGCTAAAAACGCCTTATTACATCAACTTTTAGCAGCAATATAGGTGTAAAAGTGTGCAAAACAACGAAAAATCACCTATTTTCGAAGTTTTTTCATTAAATAAAGCCGCTAGACATCAGCTGATCAAATGACCTACGGCCGTCTACAGGCTGCCAGGACGTACGAGTTCCAAGAAGCGAAAGAGAAGGAAGTACTAAATGTCCGGTGAGTCCGTTCAAACAAAAGTTCGAGAGTTCAATGTACACTACAGTCACATCACATAGTGTGACAAGGTCACTGTTAATCGCGATAGATAGATAGACTGTATGATAAACAGCCAATCAATATTATGTGACCATTTTTGTCGCTATTATTGGCCAATTAATGTAACTTACACCACGTGATGGTGACCTTGAATGTTCTTTTTTGTCTGTCACTTTACTATATATACATGTAATTAACTGACTTCATTTTGTCCGTACCCTCAATACTGTTCGGTACGTTTTTGTCCTATTTTTGTAATGACAGTGGATTTGTACATTTTTCTTGGTGTAATTGTATGGTTTATTTTGTTTTAGAAACAGATAAAGTTAAAGTCAAGTCATTCTGTTTTAACTATAGCTAAGCCAAGACTCTGTGTCGTCAGTATTGAGGAAGGACTAAATCTGTAGGACCAAAATAATCCTACAAAGTTTCGAACAGTATGGCAGACGAAAGTTATGAAATTATGCCGTCGTTAACTCCACAGTTAGGAAAGAGTAATGA